GCCGTAAATTTGCATATCACTACCTTACTTTTTGGCATTTTATAGCTATTAGTAAATTAAAAATGTTTTGAAGGGGAAAACAAACGTACTTCTCGTAATTGAGTTTCTGGTCAAGTGCCTGCTTCAATTCAATGACTTTGTGCTTCAACTTCGTGATCTCCAGTTCCTTCACTGGGATTTCTTCTACTCGCAGCGCTACCTGTAAATTCACAAGCCTATGTCGTCATACTTTTGATGAGGAAACTTTTGAAATGGTTTGACCACTCAGAAATTGTTGTTTTCACGCCAGAAAAGCTATGAACATATGCCCGGGCAGAATTCTGCGGATAAGAATTTCAAAATCCCATGCTAATCGACTAGGTGATGAGAGCAATTTCACCTTCTCATCACCCCGAATAAGGTGGTTAGGTGAGACAGTGGCATATCCCACCAAAACACCCGACTGGCACCCGTTCTATAGAAAAGCTGATGTAGAGCGAGATACGGTCCGACTGACCGACTAACCGTATTTCTATTAGCTGCGCCTTTTTCAACACACCACACTCGCCTATAACCACAACGTTTACATTAGTGGTAGAGGGAGGCACATGAGAGTGTAAGGTGAGGTCAACCGAATAAAGGTGATAGCATCTGTGTGATAGCTCAGATAAAGGAAGCACCGAATTTCGCCCGATGGCGGGTTTTTCCAATGATTACTGCTCATGTTGATAATAAATGTAATAGAGTAATATACCAAGATCTATCTAATCTGGGTGCTAATCTATCCTTTTTGGGGTGAGCCATGAATTTGGATCTTATTCGGAATCGCAGCGGTGCGTGAATAGAGCCGGAGCAATGATTTGCAAAGATCCACCATGTTGACGTTCAAAATTACTGTGTTTTCAGAGGAGTTCAGTAGTACCTAAACGAAGTTGGAGGCTACAAAAGCAGATAAGTGCTGGGCTTGAATCAAGATTGGAGGAGGAGGAGGAAGAGGAGGAGGAGCAATAGAAGGCGAATAAAGAGGAGGAAGAAGAGGAAGAAAAGGAGGAGGAAGAAGAGAAGGAGGAGGAAGTGGAGGAGGAAGAGGAGGGGGCAGTCAATGTAAGTTAAACAATTTATGCCAATAATTTAGCACTGAGCTACCGAGCTCGAACTCATGGAGAGCTCGTTTGAACCGGAAAGAATTTATAGCCATGATACCGATTGAGATGTAATATTTCTGATTTTAGATGCTAACCAAAGAGATCAACTCATTACAAACAGCGTTAGAGTTCAAGAGTAGTGAAATGAAAGAGTTACGTCAGAAATATCAACAGGTTGGC